TTGGGTTAAACGGTTACGTGTCGAATTAAACGGGTGAAGGATGAAAAATATATAAACCCGTACACGATACGTTTGATATGTTTAATAAATGGATAAAAAATCTCAACACGACACGACNTCTTATATTTTGAAACTATTGGAAATATTTTTGTTTTATAAAATCTGGACAGCTGGTTAGTCAATCTCACGTGTGCAAGTTGTTACAGAATAACTATAACTATGTAGGAAGTGAATAGTTTCCCATTGAGCTTCACACTTCTCTATAGATTGGGATATAATTGCCCAAGACAAGGCTAGAATTAGAGATACTATTGTTTCAGGTATAAAAGTTCCTACAAAAATGTGAAATGTCCTACCTTAGAGTGCGATTTGAATTATTGATTTACGTAATTGAAAAAAACCAATTAAGTTTACGACGGAACTTAGAAATGGATCACTGATTCAATTTGGGTACCTCTACAAGATAAATTTTAACACTGTCTTTTTTATATATTCTTCTCAGTTTCGTTGCTACCACGAGCTTTATGCAATCAATCGAATTATATAAATAACCCTTTAACACAACATAAGTCATCGAAAGGATCTCGAAGACCCATCAAAGTACAAAAGTCAAGATCTTTCAAAAAATAAATTTCTATTTGAAGAGTGTATAACCGAATAGATAAGCTCACACTAACTCGTCAATTTAGGATGCAATGGGTCCGAGGAAAGAAAATGACCATTGAGCTTCACACTTCTATATAGATTGGTATATAATTGGCCACAAAAATTATCTAATTTCAAATAAAGGTTAGCTCTAACCACCAATAACAGGTTTGGAATTGATAGTTATGGGACCATGTTTGTGCCTCTATATAGTACACATCTATTTAATAAAAATAAAAACTCAAAAAAACATAGAATATAACAACGATTCAATTCGTTTAGATTAAATAAATAATCTTATAATTTATATTTTAACTTTAAAATCATCATAAAATTACTTGTTTATATTTTACCTATAAAAAAAGAAAAAGAGTATGCATAGCACAACAAACCCTAATACATATGCACCTTATAAGAATAATATTACCTGATGCATTTTCAAATGTTATTAAATTTGTTTTTTAAAGAAACAATATTTAATTACAAAATTTAGAAAAATTTATCAAACAGTAATATAATTTAATTTATATCCATATAAAACTAATGTTAAAGTTTTGATCTATACCGACCGATGGACAACCACACATCAATAGTTCCACCTGATGCATTACTTTCTGATTCTACAAGAATTAGGATCTGTAAATCAGTTTAATTCTTTATTTTCACCTTTATTAATTATCACAAGCATTTTCAGACTCTTTTAAATTAAACATAGCTAATAATAATCAGTCTAATTCTTCATCTTCATCTTTATTATTTTCACAAGTATTTTCAGACTCTTTTAAATTAAACATAACTAACAATAATAAAAGAGAACAAGAATTGGTAAAAAGAATTCTAGACCTTTATGGGAATATTTATATCTTACACGCACTAGTCTCCCTTCATATTTATTGAGACCTAATTCATTATAACCCTTCAATTAACTGTGAGTTTCATTAAATATTAAAATTTAGTGTTAATTTAATAGTTATAATATTTAACTTCATCGACACTACGCTACCTAGGGATGTCAAACGTGTTGGGTTAAACGGTTACGTGTCGAATTAAACGGGTGAAGGGTAAAGGGTGAAGGGTGAAAAATATATAAACCCGTACACGATACGTTTGATACGTTTAATAAATGGATAAAAAATCTCAACACGACACGACTCATTTAACCCGTTTAATTTTTAAAAAATTATATTAACAAATTTTAATACTCTATTTTTTTTATTGTCAATTGTACTTACCTAAAAAAAAAAGATTTTTTAGCCAAATCTCATAAAAATAAGATTTGAAGGCTTAAAAAAAAAAAGTAAGAGGTCATTACTTTTTATAGACAACTCAACTCTCCCTATCTCCCCTCATTTTTCAATGTGGGACAAATAAGACTTGAAGACTTAAAAAAAAGTAAGAGGTCATTGCTTTTTATAGACAACTCAACTCAATTCTCCCCATCTCCCATCATTTTCCAATGTGGGACAAATAAGACTTAAAAACTTAAAATAAAATAAAATAAGAGATCATTGTTTTTTAGACAATTCAACCCTCTCCATCTTTCCTCATTTTGCAACTTGGGACAAATAAGACTTGAAGATTTTAAAAAAAATATGTAAGAGACTATTGCTTTTTATAGGCAACTCAGCCATCTCCATCTCCCCTCATTGTTCAATGTAGGAAAAATAAGACGTATCTTTATCTTTGAAGTGTTCCTCATCTCCTTTATTTTGTTTTTGAACTACTACTTTACTTTTTTTTTTTATTGATTTTTTTTACTTTTTTTTTTCTTACTAATTTTTTTAAATAATTATTAATTTATTATTATATTAATTTTATTTAAACGGATAAACGTGTGATAAACGGTTTGACAGGTCTCACCCGAACACGACCCGTTTATTAAACGTGTTTGGCGTGTCAACCCGTTTATTACCAAAACTCGTTAAGATCTCACCCAAACCGGATTAATTTGTGTCGATTAATCGTGTCGTGTCAAATTTTGACAGCCCTCGCTACCATCTATATAATAGAATAACTACTTCATATATACTATTTTTTAAAGGCTACTAAACAAANATAAGACTTGAAGATTTTAAAAAAAATATGTAAGAGACTATTGCTTTTTATAGGCAATTCAACCATCCCCATCTCCCCTCATTGTTCAATGTAGGAAAAATAAGACGTATCTTTATCTTTGAAGTGTTCTTCATCTCCTCTCTTTTGTTTTTGAACTACTACTTTACTTTTTTTTTTATTGATTTTTTTACTTCTTTTTTTCTTACTAATTTTTTTAAATAATTATTAATTTATTATTATATTAATTTTATTTAAACGGATAAACGTGTGATAAACGGTTTGACAGGTCTCACCCGAACACGACCCGTTTATTAAACGTGTTTGGCGTGTCAACCCGTTTATCACCCAAACTCGTTAAGATCTCACCCAAACCGGATTAATTTGTATCGGTTAACCGTGTCGTGTCAAATTTTGACAACCCTCGCTACCATCTATATAATAGAATAACTACTTCATATATACTATTTTTTAAAGGCTACTAAACAAATTTTTTTTTTTTCATCATTATCCTCAAATAATTGAATAAAGTCAGATTAGTGCTCAATTAATTACTGTAATTAGTTAATTAATCATATCTATTTCTTATAATTGTAGTTATATTAATTGATATTATAATGTAATAATATCCTATCAATGTGATGCACAACCGTTGGTATCCTTGTTAGAGATAGTTAGTAATGTAAAGAATCTCACATTAAAAAAGTTAAAAGGGAATGTAAGAGTTTAAAAGGAGAAACACACCAAATTTTATAAATTTGGATGGTGGGAAGATTTGGAGGGAAGCTCCAAATATTTTAAATCATTTGGGTCTTGATTAAATTTTAAATAAAATAATCTTTAAAGTCAAAAGATAGACACTTGGGACATCTTGGGCTTGAAATTTTTAAATAATTAATTATTTTTGTATTAATTAATTATTAAATATTTTTTGGCCCAAGAGTTGTGTCTCCTCTTTACATCTCTTTGGCACAAGAATTGTGTCTCCTCACTAAGGTATTATAAATACCTGTANGTGCAAATTTGGATTACAAATTTGGGTTACATGGTATTTTCCTATTTTTTTTAATATTGTATCTTGACTCTTATAAATTAGTTTCAATGTGAACTTTCGGATTAACATCGGTTTTAAATTTTGTTAAAATTTAATACACATGTCATATTCTTGTGTTGTTCTTAGGTAAAAATATAAACTTAACGAAATTTGAAACAAATATTACTCCAAAAGCCACATTGGAATCAATTTATGATATTTATTCTGTAAAGTAGAAAAAATAATATTTAGAGATATAAAATGGAAATCAAGGTATCTTTCGAAGTGTAAAATGCAAAAATCCTTTTCTTATATTGTTGTTCATATTTAANAATAATCTTTAAAGTCAAAAGATAGACACTTGGGACATCTTGGGCTTGAAATTTTTAAATAATTAATTATTAAATATCTTTTGGGCCAAGAGTTGTGTCTCCTCTTTACATCTCTTTGACCCAAGAATTGTGTCTCCTCACTAAGGTATTATAAATACCTGTACAGATCTTTCAATTGATGTATATACACAAAAAAAAAAAGTTTATCTATTCTATTTTTGGGAGAATTTTAGAGTTTGTTATCCGAAATTTTATTTGACTTTGTTAATTCTAAAAAAATTTGCCATAAACTCGGCAACAATATAGTGAGAGCATAATTTCCTTAAGAACAGTGAATACACGATCAAAACCTTCTAATTTGACGAATTCCTCTTTTGCTAACAATCCTTGCATCCACCTCAAACAATATCATATCATAATACCCCGTTATGTAACTCGTAACTCGACTGATTATCCGCTCACCCCAAACAAATATCATATCATATCATAATAATACCCGTTTTGTGACTGATTATACGTCCACCTCAAAAAATATCATGATTATTGAGGATGATACCGTACGTGACATTAAATGAAATATTTAGCTCAGAAGATGAGTAATTAGAGTGCCACCATTTCACCAAAATAACCACATGCATGCAAATTACACAGTTAACTTGAATAAAAAAGAGAGTGCCTAACCATACAACCGCAACTACCTTACATTGAACTCTTAGTAACCAACTACAAAACTAAATTAAAGGACCTCACCAACTACTAAAGCGCACCATACAGAAGACCCCCAAGCCTTGAAGAACCCTACAATAGGAGTCTTTAACCTACAAAACAGCAGTAGAACCCTCGGATACACCATTAACATAAAAAGACCCCCAAAACTATAATACAACTAGCAGACGTGTACTGAAGAGAACAAAGCATTGCAGCAGAGACAACAAAGTTCAGCTTTTAGTCTTGAACTTGGATTCGTCGATTTCAATTCCTTCCTCCTCCGCCCGCTCTCCCCCGGGCTTGTCGGTAGTACTCAGTCCCCCCTTGCGACCCATCTCCTGGTATCCCTCGCTCCCCAGCTGCTCCCTCCTCGTCTGCCCCCCTTTGCTCCTCCCTACAATTCCCCAACACACACAACAATTTATCAATATAACGCCAAACCCACCTCTTCTACTCAATATTCTCATATATAGTTAACACACACACACACAAATATTCAGTATAACACTGTTGAGTAAATATTGGGTGTGACCATTGCACCATGTGCAACAATCCAATAGAATAAAAAAGATAAAATAAGAGACTTCCAATCATGGAGGTGTAGAAATAGTTAAGTATTACATAACTTCGGTGGTTATAAATTTTAAATAGATCTATTTACTAATTTATTTATTAGTGAACCATTAAACTAAGTAACAATATTCGTACTACGTAAACATCATCATGTAAAATCAATAAACCCCAATATTTTAACATAAAAGTTATTAAATATAATGATTACTTAACAGTATCACACGTTAATAATAACATAACATTTTAGAGAGAGAGAGTACCTTCAGCAAGGCGTTCCTGAGCGTCGAGGCTTTTTCCTCCGGTGCCGCCGGGGATGACGGTCTGACCCTCTCTTGCCCTGGCGTCAAGCTCGGCTTTTTCCTGTTCTGAAGACATCTCTCTCTCTCTCTCGAGTTGCAAAACAAGAGCTATTCGAACACTTCTCTTCTCAACGAACACGACGATGACAAAAAAAGAATGAATTACGGAGAATTTATAGGGGAAGAAAGAACGAGTGGGGAATGGAGGGTGTGGGATTGAATGACGCGTGGAGGGGTGACGGGGCGATAAGGGGTATGAGCATGGGTGACACGTATGCCATTGGGGTACGAAGAGAATGACACGTACACCGGTATAAGCCTTTGGATCCGACACGCGTTAAGGCAGCAAGAATCCAGAATTAGCTTGGCGGCTGCTTGCTGCTTCCCAATATCACGCGAGAAAATATTCGGTAACAGATTGTCATTGTTGGTATACATCACTAATGAATAGATGCTATCTCGAGATAGATAGTGGAGAGAGAAAAATTGAAAAAAAACCTACAATATTTTTTGATTAGTGATGAATACCAGCTGTCAATGATAGCTTGATACTTGCTAATAACAGAATATATGGTGACATTTATTGATTGGTAATGAATATCAATTGTCAATGACAATCTGGTACCAATAAATACTGAATATTTTCTCATACCACGTTGTCCGATAGTGAGGTTTTTGCGACTCTTGGGAACATGCATGTTTTTTTTATAGGGCTTTTCGTTTAGCATCCCAAGCGAAATATCGATTCTTATTTCACCAACGCTATAAAATTTAAATAAAATTTAAAAATATGTAATTCAAATGTATATTATTTATTAGATGAGTGAATTTCATCATTTTTTTCAGTAAAATTCACTCATCTCACACTTATTTAAAAGATGATATATATTTGAATTTGAATTTTTAGTTTTTATTTGAATTATGGAGTATTTTCTTTCTTATTTTATACCTTAAAAAATTATTTTTTTGAGCAATGTTATATATCCCAAATTTATATCTAAAATGTACGTTCTAAATCAATAAGAATAATTGGATCAGTGGGTCTCAATTACAAAAATTAATAGGACTCACTCATCTAATGGTCCCCCGTTCATTTGAGNTTGTTATCCGAAATTTTATTTGACTTTGTTAATTCTAAAAAAATTTGCCATAAACTCAGCAACAATATAGTGAGAGCATAATTTCCTTAAGAACAGTGAATACACGATCAAAACCTTCTAATGTGATGAATTCCTATTTTGCTAACAATCTTTGCATCCACCTCAAACAATATCATATCATAATACCCCGTTATGTAACTCCATAATACCCCGTTATGTAACTCGTAACTTGACTGATTATCCGCCCATCCCAAACAAATATCATATCATAATAATACCCGTTTTGTGACTAATTATACGCCCACCTCAAACAATATCATGATTATTGAGGATGATAANGAAATTTGAAACAAATATTACTCCAAAAGCCACATTGGAATCAATTTATGATATTTATTCTGTAAAGTAGAAAAAATAATATTTAGAGATATAAAATGAAAATCAAGGTATCTTTCGAAGTGTAAAATGCAAAAATCCTTTTCTTATATTGTTGTTCATATTTAGNCCATTTCACCAAAATAACCACATGCATGCAAATTACACAGTTAACTTGAATAAAAAAGAGAGTGCCTAACCATACAACCGCAACTACCTTACATTGAACTCTTAGTAACCAACTACAAAACTAAATTAAAGGACCTCACCAACTACTAAAGCGCACCATACAGAAGACCCCCAAGCCTTGAAGAACCCTACAATAGGAGTCTTTAACCTACAAAACAGCAGTAGAACCCTCGGATACACCATTAACATAAAAAGACCCCCAAAACTATAATACAACTAGCAGACGTGTACTGAAGAGAACAAAGCATTGCAGCAGAGACAACAAAGTTCAGCTTTTAGTCTTGAACTTGGATTCGTCGATTTCAATTCCTTCCTCCTCCGCCCGCTCTCCCCCGGGCTTGTCGGTAGTACTCAGTCCCCCCTTGCGACCCATCTCCTGGTATCCCTCGCTCCCCAGCTGCTCCCTCCTCGTCTGCCCCCCTTTGCTCCTCCCTACAATTCCCCAACACACACAACAATTTGTCAATATAACGCCATACCCACCTCTTCTACTCAATATTCTCATATATAGTTATCACACACACACACACACNACAACAAAGTTCAGCTTTTAGTCTTGAACTTGGATTCGTCGATTTCAATTCCTTCCTCCTCCGCCCGCTCTCCCCCGGGCTTGTCGGTAGTACTCAGTCCCCCCTTGCGACCCATCTCCTGGTATCCCTCGCTCCCCAGCTGCTCCCTCCTCGTCTGCCCCCCTTTGCTCCTCCCTACAATTCCCCAACACACACAACAATTTATCAATATAACGCCAAACCCACCTCTTCTACTCAATATTCTCATATATAGTTAACACACACACACACAAATATTCAGTATAACACTGTTGAGTAAATATTGGGTGTGACCATTGCACCATGTGCAACAATCCAATAGAATAAAAAAGATAAAATAAGAGACTTCCAATCATGAAGGTGTAGAAATAATTAAGTATTACATAACTTCAGTGGTTATAAATTTTAAATAGATCTATTTACTAATTTATTTATTAGTGAACCATTAAACTAAGTAACAATATTCGTACTACGTAAACATCATCATGTAAAATCAATAAACCCCAATATTGTAACATAAAAGTTATTAAATATAATGATTACTTAACAGTATCACACGTTAATAATAACATAACATTTTAGAGAGAGAGAGTACCTTCAGCAAGGCGTTCCTGAGCGTCGAGGCTTTTTCCTCCGGTGCCGCCGGGGATGACGGTCTGACCCTCTCTTGCCCTGGCGTCAAGCTCGGCTTTTTCCTGTTCTGAAGACATCTCTCTCTCTCTCTCGAGTTGCAAAACAAGAGCTATTCGAACACTTCTCTTCTCAACGAACACGACGATGACAAAAAAAGAATGAATTACGGAGAATTTATAGGGGAAGAAAGAACGAGTGGGGAATGGAGGGTGTGGGATTGAATGACGCGTGGAGGGGTGACGGGGCGATAAGGGGTATGAGCATGGGTGACACGTATGCCATTGGGGTACGAAGAGAATGACACGTACACCGGTATAAGCCTTTGGATCCGACACGCGTTAAGGCAGCAAGAATCCAGAATTAGCTTGGCGGCTGCTTGCTGCTTCCCAATATCACGCGAGAAAATATTCGGTAACAGATTGTCATTGTTGGTATACATCACTAATGAATAGATGCTATCTCGAGATAGATAGTGGAGAGAGAAAAATTGAAAAAAAACCTACAATATTTTTTGATTAGTGATGAATACCAGCTGTCAATGATAGCTTGATACTTGCTAATAACAGAATATATGGTGACATTTATTGATTGGTAATGAATATCAATTGTCAATGACAATCTGGTACCAATAAATACTGAATATTTTCTCATACCACGTTGTCCGATAGTGAGGTTTTTGCGACTCTTGGGAACATGCATGTTTTTTTTATAGGGCTTTTCGTTTAGCATCCCAAGCGAAATATCGATTCTTATTTCACCAACGCTATAAAATTTAAATAAAATTTAAAAATATGTAATTCAAATGTATATTATTTATTAGATGAGTGAATTTCATCATTTTTTTCAGTAAAATTCACTCATCTCACACTTATTTAAAAGATGATATATATTTGAATTTGAATTTTTAGTTTTTATTTGAATTATGGAGTATTTTCTTTCTTATTTTATACCTTAAAAAATTATTTTTTTGAGCAATGTTATATATCCCAAATTTATATCTAAAATGTACGTTCTAAATCAATAAGAATAATTGGATCAGTGGGTCTCAATTACAAAAATTAATAGGACTCACTCATCTAATGGTCCCCCGTTCATTTGAGATGCAAATTTGGATTACAAATTTGGGTTACATGGTATTTTCCTATTTTTTTTAATATTGTATCTTGACTCTTATAAATTAGTTTCAATGTGAACTTTCGGATTAACATCGGTTTTAAATTTTGTTAAAATTTAATACACATGTCATATACTTGTGTTGTTCTTAGGTAAAAATATAAACTTAACGAAATTTGAAACAAATATTACTCCAAAAGCCACATTGGAATCAATTTATGATATTTATTCTGTAAAGTAGAAAAAATAATATTTAGAGATATAAAATGAAAATCAAGGTATCTTTCGAAGTGTAAAATGCAAAAATCCTTTTCTTATATTGTTGTTCATATTTAGATTAATTTATAAGCACTTTTATTAATAATCCCTTCTTCAATATTCGAACAAAGACGGATAATCTATATCGTAAGTTTGTAATTACGAAGTTGGCATGATATCTAGAAAATTAACAAATTTCATACTAAAAATATTTGAATTTACAATTTGTTTTGATTTTCATTGCACTATCCTTGCATAATGCATGTTGATATTGAGGTATTCACATAGAGTTCAGAGGGTTTTAATGTAGTTAGTGTAGACTGCAGACATTTCTAAAACAAGATTGCAGACAAATCGTATCAAAAGTTAGAATAAAATAGGAATAAGTAGTTACAATCATTTTGATTTTTTTTTTTAATTTTTAAAATCAAACGTAAACAACCTAAACCAGCTCAATCCATACCATGTAATTGACCATGACCTTTTGCCTTATGTAGTCGCCATAAACAATTCAAAACCAATTGCTTCAACCACCTCAAATTGAAACGAAAAGGCAACGGAAGAGACCGTGTCGCTTTGCATGGCACATGTTTATAGAATATTTAGCGTAACAGTTTGAAGTGTTCGAACCAACTTACGTATGTTTTTATTAATTTTTCTCAGATTCAATTAAAGACAAATTATTTACGCTGAAACTAGAGTATTCATAAGAGATTAACCCTCATGAATGAATCTACTCTAATAAAAAATATATAAATAAATAAAATAAATCATACTTTATTTAATAACTACTCTAGCTATAAAAGAACACAAGATATCTGAAATCAATATCAAACTTCTCTATGAGGTACACCAATCAGTTATAAGTTAGACATGGAGTAAGAATTAACTCTGAGTCTAATGCTGACCACACCAAGTAGAAAATTGGAAAAATCATCGATAAATCATATTTTTTCTCTAAAATAATTATTAAATTTTATTATATTTACTTTAGAATAATTAAATTTTACTTTTAATAATTTATTTTCAAAAAATTTTACTTTGTATACTCAAAGATTAAATTTTTTATATTATATTCTCAATATATTAAAATTTCACTCTTTCGTTAACTTCCGTTACTCATTTCATCAAAAACCACGCCATTGACATTAACAAAATAAACAACGAAAGTTAACAATATGATTACATTATAATATTTTTAATACAACGAAGATATAATGTGAAAACTCTAACATTTAAAGGGNGCCATTGACATTAACAAAATAAACAACGAAAGTTAACAATATGATTACATTATAATACTTTTAATACAACGAAGATATAATGTGAAAACTCTAACATTTAAAGGANGAATTAGCTTGGCGGCTGCTTGCTGCTTCCCAATATCACGCGAGAAAATATTCGGTACCAGATTGTCATTGACAGTTGGTATACATCACTAATCAATAGATACTATCTCAAGATAGATAGTGGAGAAAGAAAAATTGAAGAAAAATCTATATTAAAGTGACATTTTTTGATTAGTGATGAATACCAGCGATCAATGACAGCTTGATACTTGCTAATAACAGAATATATGACGACATTTATTGATTGGTAATGAATATCAATTGTCAATGACAATCTGGTACCAAGAAATATTGAATATTTTCTCATACCACGTTGTCCGATAGTGAGGTTTTTGCGACTCTTGGGAACATGCATGTTTTTTCTGTAGGGCTTTTCGTTTAGCATCCCATGCGAAATATCGATTCTTATTTCACCAATCGCTATAAAATTTAAATAAAATTTAAAAATATGTAATTCAAATGTATATTATTTATTAGATGAGTGAATTTCATCAATTTTTTTAGTAAAATTCACTCATCTCACACTTATTTAAAAGATGATATGTATTTGAATTTGAATTTTTAGTTTTTATTTGAATTATGTAGTATTTTCTTTCTTATTTTATACCTTAAAAAATTATTTTTTTGAGCAATGATATATATCCCAAATTTATATCTAAAATGTACGTTCTAAATCAATAAGAATAATTGGATCAGTGGATCTCAATTACAAGACTCACTCATCTAATGGTCCCCCGTTCATTTGAGTGCAAATTTGGATTACAAATTTGGGTTACATGGTATTTTCCTATTTTTTTTAATATTGTATCTTGACTCTTATAAATTAGTTTCAATGTGAACTTTCGGATTAACATCGGTTTTAAATTTTGTTAAAATTTAATACACATGTCATATTCTTGTGTTGTTCTTAGGTAAAAATATAAACTTAACGAAATTTGAAACAAATATTACTCCAAAAGCCACATTGGAATCAATTTATGATATTTATTCTGTAAAGTAGAAAAAATAATATTTAGAGATATAAAATGAAAATCAAGGTATCTTTCGAAGTGTAAAATGCAAAAATCCTTTTCTTATATTGTTGTTCATATTTAGATTAATTTATAAGCACTTTTATTAATAATCCCTTCTTCAATATTCGAACAAAGACGGATAATCTATATCGTAAGTTTGTAATTACGAAGTTGGCATGATATCTAGAAAATTAACAAATTTCATACTAAAAATATTTGAATTTACAATTTGTTTTGATTTTCATTGCACTATCCTTGCATAATGCATGTTGATATTGAGGTATTCACATAGAGTTTAGAGGGTTTTAATGTAGTTATTGTAGACTGCAGACATTTCTAAAACAAGATTGCAGACAAATCGTATCAAAAGTTAGAATAAAATAGGAATAAGTAGTTACAATCATTTTGATTTTTTTTTTTAATTTTTAAAATCAAACGTAAACAACCTAAACCAGCTCAATCCATACCATGTAATTGACCATGACCTTTTGCCTTATGTAGTCGCCATAAACAATTCAAAACCAATTGCTTCAACCACCTCAAATTGAAACGAAAAGGCAACGGAAGAGACCGTGTCGCTTTGCATGGCACATGTTTATAGAATATTTAGCGTAACAGTTTGAAGTGTTCGAACCAACTTACGTATGTTTTTATTAATTTTTCTCAGATTCAATTAAAGACAAATTATTTACGCTGAAACTAGAGTATTCATAAGAGATTAACCCTCATGAATGAATCTACTCTAATAAAAAATATATAAATAAATAAAATAAATCATACTTTATTTAATAACTACTCTAGCTATAAAAGAACACAAGATATCTGAAATCAATATCAAACTTCTCTATGAGGTACACCAATCAGTTATAAGTTAGACATGGAGTAAGAATTAACTCTGAGTCTAATGCTGACCACACCAAGTAGAAAATTGGAAAAATCATCGATAAATCATATTTTTTCTCTAAAATAATTATTAAATTTTATTATATTTACTTTAGAATAATTAAATTTTACTTTTAATAATTTATTTTCAAAAAATTTTACTTTGTATACTCAAAGATTAAATTTTTTATATTATATTCTCAATATATTAAAATTTCACTCTTTCGTTAACTTCCGTTACTCATTTCATCAAAAACCACGCCATTGACATTAACAAAATAAACAACGAAAGTTAACAATATGATTACATTATAATATTTTTAATACAACGAAGATATAATGTGAAAACTCTAACATTTAAAGGGACAAAATAAAATTTTCTAAAACTTTTGAGGTACAAAGTGCTATTTTTCAGAAAAAAAAAAAAAAAAAACAAAAAAACTTGTGGTATATGCATGAGTC